GCTGATTATCTTTAATTAATTAATTAGTTCTAACGGATTAAATTTCCCAAAGTGGAGTGTTTTTTTATGTATATCCCTTAATTTTTAATGTAGTGATTAAAAAAAAAAAAAAACATTGCATGAGAAAAACTGCAGTAAATCATAATGCGGTCGATAAAGGGTTAAGTTGATAAATTTTCAAACACATTCAATATTAGGTAAATTACACAACATATATGAAAAAATATAGTAAGGAGTCTGAGACAAAAAGGTTTGAGGGTCTTTGCTTTAAATTATCAAATAAATGACAAACATTATGGTAAAAGTTTTAATGATTTAGTTTTTATTAACATTGCATGGCAAACAACGCAAGGACTACTGGTGACAGATCTCATAATTTTAGACTAAACCTGCTCTCCAAACTTCATCACCACGCAAACTTCAAGATTTTGAGCCGGCTGATTTTTTTTGTACTAACGGGTTTTCAGCGGCCCCAGAACACAAGAGTGTGTCTCGATAAGTCGACAAATAATTCGCGAAAATTAAGACTCGGCTATCACTGTCACAATATGATTTTAAAGAATATCACGTTTCTGTATAATTTTTGAAGAGGCTTATTTTGAGCAAAGAAAAACAAATTATTATTACTTAGTACTTTCTTTCAAAATGAAGTTCTTTGTTTTGCTACACGCATAAAAAATGAAAATAATGAATATTTAATTGATGGTGTAGACTCTACAAGCAGAAAATGAGAGAAATGTGGCAAGATTTCTTTCCTAAAAATGAATTTAATAAAAAAAAAGTTAATTAGTTATTTCACGTTTACAAGGATCTAAAATGAAATATAAAGGTGATACATTTGGCATATGACTAGAAAAAATTTAAGAAAATTTGTTGCATTGATAATCCTTTTGTGAGTGTAGTAAACATAATTAAATCTTATATTGTGTTTTTAATGAAAATAAATTTGAAATTAATCTTTAGGTATCTACTTGTGTAGTTGCAGGGTAGGAAGACATACATATATCAGCTTTTTTGGATTATCTTTCCAGTTTCATTCCTCTTCAAGCAACACGTTGCACATTATCTGTAGCCGACCTACTGCCATAAAGGTAAGATTCTGAATTCCTGCCTTCAAACAAAAGTCACCCCCCTTCACCACAAATAATATATCCTGCATGAGAAGCATTTCAGTACTATGGATAAACTGGATCTCTTAAAAACACATGTACTATTAATTTCACGACAAGAATTAAAAATATTTGCAAATCCAAGACAGAATGAAAAAAAAAAAAATATATCAGTATCCGTACAGCGGTCAAACCGATTGTGGTCAGCTTTTGGTAGTCCCTACGGTGTTTGGGCAAACGGGTTGTTGTCAGCCTTTAATTGCTTGGATTCGTACGGTGTTTGGGTGACGAGTTGTTGTTGTCAGCCTTTGGTAGTTCGTACGGTGTTTGGGCAAACGGGTTGTTTATCAGCCTTTGGTAGTTCGTACAGTGTTTGAGCAAACGGGTTGTTGTCAGCCATTGGTAGTTCGTACGGTGTTTGGGCAAACGGGTTGTTGTCAGCCTTTGGTAGTTCGTACGGTGTTTGGGCAAACGGGTTGTTGTCAGCCTTTGGTAGTTCGTACGGTGTTTGGGCAAACAGGTTGTTGTCAGCCTTTGGTAGTTCGTACGATGTTTGGGCAAACCGGTTAAGGCAGTGCTTCTCAGAGTTGCAATACTCGCGACCCAATATTCAATCATAATTTTCATTGCACCCCCGCCCCATACAATAACAATGTACTGAATTCAATAACACTATACTTTGACGTTACAATTACGAAACGACTTCAACTTTTAACTTACCCTCCCCTGTGTGTATAAACGTCTTGCAAAGCCAAAACATTTATTTCTCAGACGTATATATACGTCTTTCCAAATACGATCTCTTCTGTGCTGCTTTCCGTAATTTATTCCGAAGATTTTGGAATGCAATAAAACTTTGACAATCTTTGCGAAAGGATTTACTTATTCCGAATTTATTTTACTTCTTTATTCCTCCCCCCCTCCCCAATACATATACGCGTGCCAACGTGGAGAACGGTTGGCATTTGGAAGCGAATCGTGAAACTTTTGATCGGCAGTTAAGGTTTAATTATAAACCGTACAAAAATTATCACGATAAGTGTTAATTTTTGTTTTAAATTATACATTTGACGAGCCTATGGGTTTCTGGTAATTAATAAACTTGTTTTTAACTTAGTATTGTTACATTAATTATAAAATACATGGTGTAGCAGTGATATATTTATAAATGTAATATATCAGTGTAAATGTGTATTTTATTTTTTTATATATTACGCCAGAATGTATTTTGTTTGTTTACTTTCAGTAAATTAATAATTTTTTAAAATAATCTTTTGTTCTCTACTTTTCAATAGGCTCGCGCCCCCTTGTAGAGTTGTCACGCACCACAGTTTGAGAAACATTGGTTAAGGCAAGGTTTCTCAAACAGTGGGGCATGCGCTTCTAGGGGGGGAACACGATCCTACGTGAGAGCGCGAGCATGTTCAAAAATCGAAAATAAAAATTTTAAAAAAAAATATCAATTTACTGAAAAGAAGCAAAACAATATACATTCTGACACATTCACATTGATATAATATACTTATAAATATATCAGTACTACACAATGTATTTGAATATCAATTTATCAAAGCTAAAATAAGAACAAGTTTAATAGTTACTTGTCTTACACAAAATTACATAGAAAATTTAATACCATCTTGTTAATTTGTACGGTTTATAGTTAGAGTCGTTTTGTAGCTTTACGCGTCATATACATTATTATTACATTCTATATATTGTTATTACACGGAGCAGGGCACGATGAAAATAAAGATTGAAAATAGGGTCGCGAGCATTGAAAGTTTGAGAAGTACTGGGTTAAGGAGTTACTAGCATTTTTCAAATATTAGTGTTAGGAATTTAAATAAAATAAAAAATCGTAGGTCACCTTATATGTTATGAAATTCTACAAATGGTCCGCAAAACTTTTTTCTATTAAAAAAAACTATTAATAACACATAACTGTAAATAACCCATTTCATTACCAAATTAACTCTAATATCTAACTCTTAATATCATTATTTCTTTCTAAAGAAAAACAAAGCCAAAACCGCACAAATAATCATATCCAAACATTGAGAAGTAGGAGGAAATAACAAATACAATCTGAGCGGAAGAAATGGCATTTCCAGGAAAACAATGCCATTAAAATAAGCGTCTCTAAAACAAATGAAGGAAAACCTTTCGGTGACATTTGTGATGGATATGAGAGTAAACAAAACAGTCGTCTATTTCAGGAATTAATATTATGACATAAACTGCCTTGCTAATTCGGATAAATCGAACAGAAAACGACGAATAATAATAAAAAGAATGAAGGTCACAGCAAATGAAACAAAAATTCTTGATATTGGCATGATGAATAATGATTATCTATTCACGAGACTAATTGTAAATTTGTATTTGAAACGAAAAAATAATTCAAAGATATACAATGACAATAAAGTGAAAGACTTGGAGGTTTCAATCGAGGTAAGAAAAAAGGGATTTCATTGTTGTTGTTTTTATATCAAGAAATGTACAATTATTTTTAGCTTTAACTCAACATGATTTAATTTTCTCTGACAGCATATTTTAGCTGGAAAAATTAATCTGTATTATCTGCCCTACAAGTAACTCAAGACATTTTTTCTACAATGTGTACATTTTTTTCCAAGTGCCCAATTAATTCACATATTTCCCTATGCTTGTTGTTCCTAAAATATGCTTTGTTTAGAGTTTTGTTACTAAACTTAGAATACGACAAATTGGCTTTGGGGAGACAAATTTTACAAAGACATGAAGAAGTCAATTAACAAGTACATAAATAGTGAATTTTGCAATGAATATAGTAAAAAGGGACTTTAAAATAGTAGTATTAAAAATATACTGATACCTTGAAAAAAATTACACGAATTTGCAAACAATTCTGAATGTATAGAAAATCTCTATGCTAGGATATATTAGAAAAATAATTATCATGACCCTGCGGTAGCTCGGGAAGTTGGAGACACCGAATAAGACCCCAAAATAAACTCAACACTTTTACTTTACATTCAATTTAATATCAGCAGGTTGCTTAAATACTTCCCTGTTTTTCCCGAATGCCGCTCGGGCACTTGAAATGGCACTTCCCTGACTCCAATCCTCTGATTTGCCCGTACTTTTTGCTCGTTTAGTGTGCAATGTTTCTAACAGATGTCTCTAAAAACAGAGTAAAGTTAGGATTAGAAAAAAAAATTATCTAAACTGGTTTCAAAGGTTAGGTGTTACTGCATTCTTTCAGACTAGATAAGGCGGGAATTTTCTTTTTTACTAGATCGGTGTACCGCAGGCTACAAACCCTTTTTTTAAATTTGGAGTTTAAAATAGAAGAAAATGAATGATTCTAAGAGGATCATAACAGAGAAAATAATTCTGATATCGACTCGGATAGTGAGTCTGAAACTTCTGTAAATGATTCTGGAATTAATAATAAATGTTTGTTATCGGACTTCTCTTGTAGGGTAGATATAATCGATCAGAATCTCGCAAATTATCCAATAACAAAATAAAAAGGTGCAAGAAATAATACAAAGAAAAAAAAATGTGTGTGGGGCGTTAATTTTGTACGCACGAAAAATTGTACTTTTTTTGGCTTAACAAGATTAAAATTTTTCTAAAAACCCCGGGGCGGGGCAAGCGGGGCCCAAAGGACAAAAAGACAGTCAGGGTGCAGGTTAAAAACCAACCCTTTTCGGTCAATCGGACCAGCCAAACCTGGGGTTATTCACTTTTTAAATACTTTTAAAAACACCCTGCAAGGGAAAACAATAGGACCAATAATAGGGGGAAGGGGATCGAAGGCGGGAATGACCCTGCCCCGTTTTTGCATTTTTTTAGAAAAAGTTAACCCGGTTCCTGGAACGAAAAACAAGGGTTCGCTGACGGGGGGATATAGCTCAGGGGGTAGATCATTCGAATGCAGATCGAGAGGTCCTCGGTTCAAACTAGGATGCCCCCCTTTTTTCGGGAAGTGAAAAAATTTTTTTTTTAAGAAATTGACGGCAGGAATATTTGTCCCATTCTGCATATTTCTAATCAAAGATTTTCATATCCGTTCCTACGGAACGCAAAGAAAAGGTTTTCCGCTGACGCAAAAGGGAAAAGTTTAGTGGTAGAGCATTTGGGCCCTGCAGATCGAGAGGTTCCGGTTCAAACCCAGGTGTCCCCTTCTTTCCGGGAAAAGGGAAGAGAAAATTTTTTCTGGGGGAAATTTTAAAACCCCGGGGATGATTTGTCCCGTTCTGTTTTTTATTTCTAGACGAAGGATTTTCACATCCGTGATGGTTTTGAGTCACCCGTGACGGGGTTGGGGATTGGAAAAAATTTTTCCTCATTCTGTTTCTCTACCTCCCCGAAGTATAACTTCAAAAAAGAAATATTTTTTCCATTTTTTTTTTTTTATATGTCAGCATGAAATACTTTCGTTTTTATCAGAAACTAAAAAGAAATTTATTTTCTCTCATTTGAGTTTCAATCTTTTATATTTTAAAATCGCCTTATTGAAAAACGTAGAGGGGAAATGAGGGAAAAAAGTATGGCCAAAATTTGCTCAGTGTTAGATTGACAGAAAAAAAAAGTTTTAGAAGTGATTCCTCCCCCACCCACTCAAAATTTAATTAAAAAAGGCAATGTTTTTTTTGAGTTAACCAAAAAAAAAGACTTTGGAAAAAAGGGTTTTAAAAAACAACACAATATTTGCCCTGATTGCTATATTACTTTTTGCGATCCCTGTTTTTAAAATTTTACCTCAAAAAAAACAAATTTTTGAGAAAAATTAAATGTTTAAAAATTTCTTTTTTTAAAACTAAAATACATTTTTTTTAAAGTGTTCTGCCGTGTAGGGGGAACGATGCACGTTAAATCTGTCGAGAGCTGAAACGTCCTCCCCTTGGGTGTGGTTGTGTTAGTTAGGGGAGGGGTTGCCGTTTTAGGTGTCGTCCACGTCATTTACCATTTCCCAAAAATTTCGGGGCCGTCGCGAAAAGCCCTCGTGTATCTAAACAGTGTGACGTTAATATTCAATCAATCAATCAATCATTGTAAAGTGTTCTTTTGAGTTCGTTTATTTCTTCGGAAGAAAGCCAACTTTAAGGAAAAAAATGTTTTTTTTAAAAAAATAAAAGTTAGTATAACTCTTTAAATTCAATACTTGTAACATTTCTGACTGATGATTTGAGTTTATATAAATGATTTCACTTAAAGATGTTTATAAAAAATATGCTTATTTTTTGACATAATGTGATAGGAAAAAAAAATCTGTTAAGTGGTTAAGCAAATTGAACGATCAACTTTATATACAATATATAGCACTTAAAGAAGTTTTTAGCAAAACGTTGAATCTAAAAACCTTTTTACAAAATTGAAGTGAATATTTACAATTAATATAAGCTAGTTTAATAAATGCTTACATATATTGAGATTTGTAAAGATCAAACTAAGGATATTTTTAAAGAGATTTCTTAAAAATTATTTAATTAAATAATTTATGTGCCTCTTGACGGTGACATTAGTTGAATTCTCTTTTAGGCCTCTTGGAAATTGTTAAGAAATTCATGCTAAATTAATTGTTAATAAACATAAAATTTAAATATGTTAAACTTCAAAAAAACTCTACTTCATGATTTTATGAATTCAAAATAAACTTCAAAATATATTAAAACCATTTCACCAAATTTTATTGTTTTAACATTAGAAAATTGAATTGCAAAACCAACAAAAACAGTATAGTCTACATAAAATAATCTTTTGTTAATGAATATCTTATACACATACTCAAAGTACTATTTTTTCTTTCTGAAATCCCCGTCTTCAAAATTGAATTTTCAATAAAGAAATGTTTATAAACAAGTTTAGAAAATTGGAATATATTCTATCACATAAAATAAATATTAGGAATAGCAGTCAAAAATCGTTCTTACTGATAAGTTTCCATTCCAAATAATATTGCATTTCCTTTTTCGAGATAGTCTGCATCCGAGACTTGTCAAACGATAATGAGATATATGATGATTTCAATTGACTCGCATTTTATTGTGTCGGAAATATAAACAGAAAATGCTCCTCAAATAGATCAGCGCGTGAATGCTTTCATGGAGTAGATCATTTCATCTATGGATATTATAATAAACTACGTCTGAATGGAAAAATTCTAGAAAATATTAAATTTCAGGTAAATTGAACTTTGATGGTATCCTTTTATTTTTAATCTGACAAAGATAAAACTTCTGTCTGACATAAAAACGAATGATATGCTTCAAGATGATTTCAATCTATACTGCTTACTCACAGTACCAGATAAAATTTCACAATACTTGTATTGTATATAAAATTGAAGGTATTGATGTAACAAGAAAAACAATTCTGAAATAAAAATAAGTAAAATGGGAAAGATATTACATTATTACATACATACACTGATGTAAATTTAAATTCCAACATTTTGCAGCAAATGGTCTTGTTCTAGATGGACAATATATGGTAGGCGTGATTAAGTATCTCAACTAAGTTCGGAACCGTGATTTTGCAAAAGCATATAAATGGATAATATTTATGATATTAGTGTCACTTAGATTATAAAATGTATATAAAATTGTTTTAATAATAGTATTACAATAAAAAAAATATTTAAGTACAATATTTTGACAAAAAATGAACATAGAGTGACCCATTTTCAAAATGTTCTCCTTTTATGAAAAATGCTTCTATTATATAATAATATTTTGCCAGTACATTGCTCAGACCTCTGTACAGAGGCTAAATTACAATTTTTGAAATATATAACTTAGAAGTGGGTTTATCCATGTTTTACGACAACAGAGGGAGAAATTTAAAAAAAAACGCCGATAATTATTTCAATTGGTGGTAACTGAAAATAAAGTGCATTTTTCAAAAATCATAGTTGAGCCTCTGTATAGAGGTCTGAGCTATGTACTAGCAATATATTATTATAATAGAACCATTTTTCACAAAAGGAGAACATTTTGAAAAAAAGTTATTCTAATTTAATTTTTTGCCGAAATATTGTTTTTAAATAATTTTTTTTCCAAAATGTCCTTAAAACAGTGATCTAATCTAAGTAACACTAAATATCATGAAAATTATCCATTTATGAGCTTTTTTTAAAATCACGGTTCCGAACGTAGTCGGATACCTCAAAGATACATCTCAAAGAGGACTATGATTCAAATTTTGCGCTTGGTGCAAAAGTGTAGGACTAGTAGAGCAAGAGCGAATCAAGTTTATTTTAAATACACGTTGTAAAGTTCATGAGTGTTTTTTATCGTGCCACTAATAATAACTAAACTTGTTTTTAATTTAGCATTGATAAATTAAGTATCAAATACTTTGTTTAGCATTGATACATGTATAAGTATATTACATCAGTGCGAATGTGTACTTTTTTTATTATGTTGGAATATATTTTGTATGTGTGTGCGTGTGTTTTGCTTCCTTTCAGTAAATTGATAATTATTTTAAATATTTTATTTTCGATTTTTCGATATGCTCGGGTCTCCCACGTAGGTTTATCACGTTCCCCTAGGGCACATCCCACAGTTTGAAAAACGCTTCCGAAGAGGGTGCCTGCTCTTTCCAATATATTCTCGTCATACTTTCATATGGAGATGACTGCTACCTTTTCTTCAATGTTCGAGAAAACGACCATAAAAATAGCGGAAGCTAGATTGTTTGGGAAAGCATCACTCTTTGGATGACTGCACACAATGCTTTGCAAGAGATACTGTGACTACTGTGAGGTTTAAGAATTAGGTTTTGGAGTCCTATGTTTGTCTTTTTACTGGTGCAGTTGGCTCTGATTTTATTTTAACGATTAAAAACGCGCAGAACATTGAGCTCATCTGGTAAATGAATTTTTAGAAACTGAGGATATTTACAGAATGGATTGGCCAGTTAGAGTTTTCGATCTCATCCGTATAGAGCATGCGAGGAACGTTCTGGGAGGCAAATTGTAAATGTCAACTCTATACGAAAACCAACCAAGGAATGAAAACAAAGTTGCTGAACGAGTAGAATTAATTTTTCCACAGTAACTGTTAAATTCCCTTATTTCGGGCTTAAAATCACGGTGTAAGGCTTGTTTATCAGAAAGAGGGAACCATACTCCTTATTAGTGATTTTTTTTGTGGTATTCAGCAAATGTTTCATACCTGCCGATTTCGATGAGTGTTAAACATGATCATGCGTGTGAATTTTAATTGTTGAAGGGTTATATTTTTGAATTATATCCGACCTAAGTACATACCAAGTGACTAAATTCTGTCCAGTAGTTCTAGAGAGATCATAGACAAAATCTAAAAATTCTCTTAATTTTGAACACCTGTATATTTTCTTATCAACACATTAATTTTTCTTCTGCACTAAATTTATGAGGATTTTTATGCATAAAGCATTATTTTTTCTAACTTCATCAATGGAGAATCTTTAATCAATGGAGATCATCCTAGAATCAGTGGAGACTTAGATTCCAATAAATATGGTGTATTCTTAGATGGTGTGATTGATAAGTAAGGTCTCCACAAAAGCATAAAATAAGTTTCCGACAAGGTTAAATAATAACAGAGGTGTCAGCATGGAATTTATTACTCTTACATTTTGTAAAATCATTTCTCAACATAGTCACCACTACCAACTACGTCAGTGCTTCTCAAACTTTCAATATTTTCGACCCACTATTCAATCATAATTTTCATCGTGCCCCCTCCATAAAATAACAGTGTATTGAATTCAGTAATACTATACTTTGACGCTAAGGCTACAATACAACTTTCACCTCTTTTGGGTTACTGAAGTATATAAACGTCTCGCTCAGATAAAGCCTTAATTGCATCGGACGTATATATACGCTTTACGAAATACGATTTTTTTTCCGTACACTGCTATTCATAAAATTATTCCAAAGGCTTTGAAATGCCATAAAAAGACATTGACGTGTTTGTAAAT